CTAGGAGGCCTTACTCAGCACTCTGGGGTGAGTCTATCTTTCCTCTGCATCCTGTTCTAATTTGCATAAAGTACTTAGATATTTTATGGGGCAGGAGCTGTAACCCAAATGTCCCAACTTCCAGGTAAGAGTCCTATACATGGGGTAGTCGTACTGCCTTCCTGACCCAATGACCCCCTGTACGTGTTACACGTAAGGTGTGATTAACCAGGTAATAACCAGGGATCCTGGTTTTCTCAGATTAAAAAAAAAAAAAAAATCCCCAATTTTTGGATTAAAAAAAGTAACCCCAAATCCATATTTTCCCATGATTAAAATGAAAAATCGTTTATATATATTATGTGTGTGTCGTGTGTGTGGTGTTTCATTTTAATCACAGACAAGTGTGGATTTTGGGTTCCTTTTTTTTTTTTAAATCTAAAAATTGGGGATTTTTTTTTTTTTTTAAATCGGAGAAAACCAGGATCCCTGGTAATTGCACCTTAAGTTGTAACCCAGCTACACATTCAACCAGTTAATAGTGTGATAAAACAAGCAATAAACTACAAAGGTATTCCACAAAAAATGTGCAATAACTTTGCAATCTGTTCTAATCACACCATTAACTGAACATGTCACCAAGTGCTCCTCTGGCTGAGAGCCCCATCAATTGAGGGGCTCCCAGCCACAGGGGTGCACCAACTGCTGCCAGCCCCACCACTGATGAGGGTCGCAGTGGTGGCAACATTGTCAGCTGCAGGGCTTGCGGCAGGGAGAATGCTGCTGCCCCATCCCGCCCCACGAGTCTCAACTGTGGAGCTTGCAATGGGGAAAATGCGGCTGCCTCTGCAAGCCTTGCAAGGTGTGGGGATCACAGCAGCGGTGTTCCCCACTCTGCCTCTGCTGCAAACTCTGCAGCCAATGTTGGCTGTGGGGCTTGCAGGGCTTACAGTGGGAAGAACGCTGCTCTCATTGCAAGCCTCATGAGATACAGGGCTCACAGCAGTGGCAGTTCCCCACAGTGCCCCCACTACAAGCCTTGCTGAACCCTGTAGGCTTTAGGGTGTGCAGGTGAGGGAGCCGGTGCCAGAGGAGCCCAGGATCATGATCCCAGGCTCCTCCTGCATCAGCAATAAGGCAAGATTGGATCTAATGCACAATCCCATTATCATGCCTCCTGCCATGAGCGTGTGGCATGGCAGGAGGTGCAATTGTGTGGGTCACTCATTAGATCTCCTTATGCCTTTACCTGCACATGTAGTGGGGCCCAATAATTATTTCAATATTTATACAGGATGCAACAATTTCAACAGGAAAGATTGAAAGCAGCTCACTATAGAGTATCCTGTAGTGAGCCAGGGGGTCCTGTGGACTGAAGCAGGTTTAAGTCTAACTGGCTCTTGCTATTGTGACATTTTCAAACACTTTTAATAGTTAAGTTGTCAAACCCCTACAGAAATTGGACATGGGACTACTACTGGTCCTTTTTTATGGA